TGCTAGCAATCGATCAGTCAATTTCCCATTTATAAAGTTTGTTTTAGATTTTATTGCTTGGCTCGAAAATAGTTATTAACACCTGGGTAAGCAAACAAACAAACTGTTTATTATTCCTGATTGTAATGAAGCTCTTTGGACTTCCAATTCATGGAAGATGTCGAATTTACAATTTGATTATTACAGTTTTAAGAGCCATTTTATGAGGACAGTTTTAATGACATTTTAATTACAAAAACAAGGTGACAGCAAATTCTCACTGCAAATTAAATCTAGACGAAAACGATATACTGAGAATGTGTATACTTCTCAAGAAAAAGTAACAATTTTTGCATGAAACTGTGCTTCAATCAAGAAGCTTCAAATCTGTTAACTGGTTATATTTACTGTCTACTGTGAGGTACACATACACAGCTGGTTAATAGGTTGTTCCAGTTAGGTTTATAAACCTAGTGAGTCACCTTCACTTCACCCTGTAACCACAAACAACGATGAGAGCCATAGAAACACCCCCGACAGCCTCTTAAAGCCACGTCACCAAATCATATATGAGCATTCAACGTCAGGACCCTCTGCCAAGTCGGAAAACAGACATCACTAGCAAGAACTCTGTAATCTCAAGCCATGGATGTATGTTGCGTTTCGGAGACATGCATGCAAGACCCAACTGTAGTTATTCACTTAACCTCACTGGGCCAACGAGGTGAATCTATAAAACTCACTTTAAGGGTGTCAGGAGACCCCTCAGCTAGTTCGCAGGTGTAGGGATAGTATTGAGTGTTAGAGCCGAAAAACCACTTCTTGACTGGATCTCGGTAGATAGTCGTATGTATGCGATTCATCTGAATGAATCCGTTAGAAGGCAAAAGGACGGCGTAACTCATCGTTGTCTTTTCAAAGTTTCCCCTTACGTCCCAGCCGACTGCAGTTAGGATGAACTCAAGGATGACTTTTACTTGAATCTGTCTAATTTGCTGCATAAAGCAAAACGTTTAGGTATAGAGTTGTTTTAGCAGGCGACTTCAATGCCCAAGTAGGGAAGTTGTGCCAGACTGGAAAGTATGTACGTGATAGGTATGGAGTTCCCTGGCGGCAAACTAACAACGGCGATCGTCTTCTACATTTCTGCTCAGATAATTTCTGTTCCTAGTCAGTACCAACTTTAGAGACAAAGAGAGACATTGCGCAATCTGGCAACCTCGATCATCAGATCAACGTTGGAATCAGATAGACCACATAGCGATACGATATCGTTGGCTAGGGTCAGCAGAAGACTGCCGATCCTTCTGGAACACGTACGTAGACACCGATCACGCCCTGGATAGCGCACATATATGCTTAAGATTACAGGCACATAAAAAATTTTGGCAGCGAAACAGTTACGTCCCCAACTAGATCGAGACTCTGATTCCGTATTTAAGGAAGAAATAGCTAAACGTGTACCTGAAGTCGACAGCAGGACTCCCACTGAGGTAGCCTGGCACAACATACAGTCAGATGTAGATACAGCTGGAAAAGCTGTTAATAACCTACATCCAAAAGTAAGCAAGAGCCAGTTGATTTCTACCCCCTCATCCGAACTGATGATGCAGCAATACTGATTCCAGCGAGCTTCGATCAATTTTTTATTTTTTATTTTGATTATAACTTGAAACTAGACAGTATTTTCGGTACAAGTGTGGAATTTTCAGCAAGTGATATCGGTAGCCCAAATTTTGCAGGCTGACCATCAATATCAGGTGTGCGTTGGCAGGAGGTCGAACTACGGACTATGTGCACGGTCAACGAGAGTCCTAACCGCAGTGCCAGCGACGAATGATGAGAAACGAAAGCGACTCAAACGCAAACTAACAAGAAGCGTCCTAAACGACCGTGAAGAGTGATGGGTGACAAAAGCGAAAGGGATGGAAAAAGCATCGGCGATTGGTAACACCAGACAACTATTTAGGCTTGTAAGGGAAACAGGTGGTAAAAGGCAAGCGATAAGTGAAACGAACTCTGAGGAAAGTGGCACCATAACTAGCCCCCAGGATAGATGACTGGAACGTTGGAAGAAACACTTTGAGGAGCAATTCAATTGGCCTACAGCCACGTTCAATTTACCCAACATCCAACACCTCCTGAATGGGACATAGACACAGGTCCACCGTCCCTAATTGAGGTGGCCGGGGGCTGTTACTAGTCTGAAACAAGACAAAGCTGCGGAAGTCGACGGAATGACTCCAGAGGTGTTTAAGTACGGTGGAGACAGTTTACTTTCTGCGTTAATCAAGGTACTACGAGGCATCTGAGAATCAGAGGAAGTCCCGTCGGGTTGGCGTAAGTCATTGATTGTTCCGATATACAAGAAGGGAGACAAGTCTTCCTGTTTTAATCACAGGGGGACTAGATCGATTAATATGGTATCTAAAGTTCCAGGCTCAATAATAATGTGTAGGCTTAGGATCCAACGGGCGGAACAAACACGAGAGAATCAGGCAGGCTTCAGATCAGGAAGAGGGTGTATTGATCATATATTCACCCTTCGACAAATTCTAGAACATAGGCATACTTACCGGCGGCGTCCAACAATCGTTATATTTCTTGACCTAAAGGCGGAATTCGATTCTGTCGACCGAGAGGTACTATGGCGATGCTTGGCTGTAAATGGAATGTCGAGAAAATACATTGCACTGATGAAGGAACTCTACTCAAACTCATGCAGTCAGCCAGGTGAGAGCTTAAGGCGAATTGTCATCTGAAGTGACGACAACTAGTGGTGTCCGTCACAGATGCCTACTGTCCCCATTTCTATTCCATTTCATCATAGATGTACTAATGGACTAACCCTATGTGACTTCAGCGATTCAGGGATTGACCTGTCACCAGGGTATAATCTCGTTGACTTAGAATATGCAGTCAATCGATGAGGCTGTGAAGCTACATCCATTGAGATGGTTAGGGCACGTGTTAAGCATGCCCAGCCATCGCATTCCACTACCAACGAGCAATGTTAGCTGACATAGGATCGGGTTGAGAAAGAGATAGTGATGGTCAAACCAAAACATGGCATCAGTCAATGAAATTCATAACAGTTAGTTTAAGCAGTCACTTAGGAAGGTGTAGCCTTCCTGGTTGGGGTGGTCGGGACGGTAAAATCCAATGAAGGCTGGAGACAATCAGTGATATGGCTCAAAATCGTTCTCAGTGGCTAACGCAGATTCATCCACTGCTTGTGACTTATAATAGCCAATGAAACTATATTGTTCTTTGTTATTACTGTCCTTTTTGTCTCATATCTCTGTTTACTGTCTCTATTTTGCATTCAAATTTACTTTTTTTTATCTTGCTTTGCGTGCTACATGGAATGTGGCGACTTGAACTGCTGCAAATTGGTGCAAAGTTCTACGTTAAAACCAGTCCAACCAGTCAGATAAACCCAGTACTATCTGATCTTCACTATTATTCTCAAAACGTTACTTCAATAGACAGACTTTTACCACTAAATAATGGATTTTCTAAATTGTTTACAATGTACGGAAAATAGCACAAACTGACCACTTTTCAGAGTTACTGAACAAATATATACTATTTAAATCAATGGAAATAGGATACATAAAATATTAATAAAGCCATTTACTGATGTTGGTAATATATATATACACTATATTTAGTGTCACTAGCATAAATGTGAGCAAGTAGAACACCACATTTATGTCCACATATAAATTTTACTAATGACCTAAGAGCCTGTGACAAGAAATATTGAGAAGGTACGGATGTGATTGTCTTATGAAGCCATTTAATTTCATTGTCAACAAAACCTGATTTATGTGATGCAAACCAGTTAGCATTATATATTTCAGTTGACTACAAAGTAATACCATTAAACATAGATTAATGGATATATATTTCCACAAGTGAATGAAGCCAATAAATGTTGAATTCAGAGAAATAAAATATTTTAAGTATCATCCTTCAAATTTCGGCACGAACCAACATCAATTAGAGATCATTGACAGCCAACGAACACTAGACAGCTGTTTTGTTCTGGCTCTGGACTCTTCATCAGTGCGCACCTACAACACTACCATGGATCGAACCCGGCACCATCAAGTTACGAAACCATACTCGCTAACCATTCAGCCACTCCAGGAGGAATCCAACGACTCATGAATTCTAACTTTTCCTGAGATGCAAGGAGAGAGTTCAGAGTCTGACAAGATAATATTTGCTAGTTTCTTGCAAGAGTCTATGTGTTTATTTACAGTAGTATTATATTCCGCCATCTGTATGGCTGTTCAGTTCAAAATAGACTTGAGATAACCTTGTGTGAAGTCCACTTTCTTCTCTTTTAAATAAAACAACAGCATTCAGAAGTGGGCGAAAAATTGAAAACACTAACTGGAAATTTCATAAGTGTTCTATATAGGCTGCATGCTTTCACTGAAGTTATTGTAAAGCCATTTTCAATAGACAAAATATGATGGACTGGTTAATATTTTATTTTGATTTGAAGAAGTCTCAGTTAAAGGTCGTGGTGATTAATCCTAGATAAGGTTTTTTTGATATCTAAAAATACACATCTTGCATACATTGAACTACTTCTAATTACTTTCTAACGCTTTCTTTACGTTAGCACGGCAAGCTGAAAGGTTTATGTTTCCACTTAGTCACTTTAGTTACAAAGACATTTATTTTCTATTCAATTTAGAAATTAATAAGCCAAAATTGTATAGAGAATTTCACAAGTCATATCATGAAAAACACGTATCTCTTCAGTTATGAACATGAGAACTGTAATGGTTTTCATTACTACCCAGTCTAAAAATTAATTTTAAAATGTAACTACTGAAAAAAGTCCTGTGAAATAAAAAAAACTTCCAGTGAAAAATATTTTTTGCTTCATTGTATCACTTATCTGTTTACCCCGATATACACTTTAATCAACATAAGGGGCTATCACAGGTTCAGTAAGAATAAAACGCATTGAAAGGTTTTAACCAATGATGATAACTTACCTCGTCAGGAGTCAATTTCGGATGGACATGTGTAGTGAATAAATTCCACCAGTGCTGCAAGAATTCTGGAGTTCCAGCATTTGTTGGATCTCGGACTATAACATGTCCAGACTTATTCAGTTCAGTGTGCCATGGTTTCTCAGCTCCAATAAAATGTACAACACGAATTTGACTACGAAATCGAACCAGGGCAGGTGGGTAGGAATAAAATGCTTGACTTATTACGTTATACAAAAATGGCAGGTGGAAACGAATGTCTTTAGTCGCCCAGTCAGAGAAAAAGAGATTTAACAGACCCTGAAATATAAAATATGATATATCTTAGTGTGTCAAACACTGAAAGTATGATAAATTCTTAGACAACAACAAACAAATGGAAACTGTCACAAAAAAGGCAGCAGGTTAACTTAGACAACTAAGGAAAAATTTCATTTTTATGTTCCACGAACTGAAACAGATAGTCATCTTAGTATTTTAATTAAACACAATGGCATTTGGTTTGACTGAGTCTATTTTTCTATAATAAGGACTTTATAAACTACTCAAGCCAGAATTATGATACCCAGAAGAGGCAAAAAGATTGCTTAGCTTTAAGCTGACTGAATGAACTATCCAGCTAAGAAAATAGTCGAAAATCTATTTTTGATAAACGAGTCAGAAATCTTTGACAAACGGAGATAGGCATTTTAAAGCCTTTGTTTAAAAAACACTGAATTAAAAGACAACCTATGTAAAGCGGGACTGGAACTAGAAAGCACAACAAAATTCTCATATGAGATATTCTCAGTAAAATGCAAAATGTAAATTATTTCCAGGTTTATCAGAAAATCTTACTGAAGCCTAATTCTGTGCTGAACCCATATTATTATGTACGTACTTAATAACCAAGGATGATTAATCCCAGAAAACCCGGATTCTATGGTAGATTACAACTTAAAAATAATCATAGGATTAGTAGACGAATATAAAATGTTACATAACATAGTGAGAAATTCGATAAGATAGAATTAAATATTGTAAAAATAAAAATATAAAAATTAATAATTTTGGGTTTAAAATGACAAATGGGTCAAGTGGAAAAGATTCAGAATGAGAATAGTAATGATAATAATAATAATAGTAAACGTAGTAATAAGGGAAAAGTACATAGAATAGCTAAATAAACAAAATAAATAAATGTCTGTCCCTCTTCGTCCAAGTTTAAAAGCGAACCACACTTGTTTTTCTAATCACTACTATTATTTCCTTTAATTCCTACAGGAACATAGGGCTCCAGCCACGCATCTCCATTGAGTTCGGTTCTCTGCTAGAGTTTTCACCTGGCTCCAAGTCTGCCCACATGGTTTCATCTCCTCTTCACATGACCTCCTCCAAGTCACCCTTGGATGACCAACTCCCCGGTTCCCCTTCGGGTTCCACTCGAGGGCTTGTCTAATGATGTCACTTGCTTGCAGTATTTTAACAACATCTTGCCTACTTCAAAGCTCTTTACACTAGCATTTTTCGTGTCGAATATTTTCATTACTCATCACCTACAGTGACATAAACTTTACAGTTAAGTAGCCATAAATCAACTACGTTCCTAATAATTAAAAAATGTAGATAGTTTGTTTGTAACACTAGTAAAATTTCATTTTTACTTCGAATAAGAAATCTTACGCGGACATTTTTGTCTTAAGTCATTGTTTATTGTGCACTTTCCTAGTCACATCCAAATACAGATAAGAACGTAAACACTTGTACAGATACTCCCTGAAATGTAGATATTTGCACACAAACTACCGTCTTAATATACAACTCCGGACAGAAATCAATAGTTTTTGGGCAAGAAGGTAAATTAATTCTGCTAAACTTACTACTGACACTTTCCAAGAAACTTTCAACATATCTACCGAAACAGGTCTCCCTAAAACATTTTACTAATGTAAACTTTTCTCGAGTGCATGTATCCGATGATTGGAACCTATGGTATGAAGCCTAATGATGTCAAGTGTCTGTCTAAACCTCAATAGGTTTGACGAGATTCCAAAGTGTGGCCTAGTATTTGACAGTCAAGGGACAAGCAGCTCTACCTGAAAACTACTAGACAGATACAATTTAATCAAGTACAAGGATTGCTTGTTTCCACTAGATTTCATTCCCAACAGAAAACTCCATAAATGTTTAGCATTTAATTACCTTGGTACACAGCGAACTAACAACAGAATTAAGCAAACATGGATTAGTTTACGTAACTAAAATAATCAGAGTTTTGATAGAATGATTCAGAAAATAAAATATAAGAACTCGTACATGATCTCAACCAAAGATTTGCGGCTTAATTAAACTATTAGTTCCCTTCCACTTGTAAACCCACTATATCTACTTCATCCTGTTTGCTGATACTCTTGTTGCATACTGTTGAAAAAGATTTTACAAATTAAAACATGTCTAAGAGATATTACCATTTTTACCTTTATATCTATCAGGATGAGAGTTGGTTTTAAAAGTTCGAACGAACGCTGTCCGACCTCTCTGTGTTTAGATGAGACAGTAAGACAATGATACAAATTAATACGGCTAGCAAATAAATACATCAGTACCAAGTGTCAAAAAAATAATCCATTGTAAAATAAAAATACTGGGATTACTACTAAATCTGCAGATGAATATGTTTGGAGTGAGTAAATCACTCGCTACAGTATTTTGAATTAGTGTTTCGAGAAGCAAAAGCATGGCTACCAATAGCTATTTGATTAAAATGGAGGAAAGAGTTGTACCATTTTGAGAACATACAACTGTAAATTGGAGTCATAAAAATTCATATTTTTATAGTGTAGCCATCAACTAAAAGTTTCAAACAAAAACAGTAACCTGACTGGGAGCGTGTCGACCAAAATGATATGATGATTTGATAAAATACCAACTAAATGAGTGTTTGGTGTCATGGGCGAATAATATCAACTGAAATAAACAATAAGAAAAAAGCCTTTACTTAGGTGACTTGCAACAGATATCAGACAATCTGAAACCTGGAAACATACCTGATCTCCACCATCAAAACTCCCATGTTCAACAGCGAACTGCAGAAGCTTTTTGTATGTTTCCATAGAAGGTTTGTAAACAAAGACGCCCGAATTAAAACAATCTGGCCATCCCGGATCCGGAGACGCACTAAATTCGTCGCGTTCGAACAAGTCATCGACGTTTTGTAAGACCTGAGAGTAAAATATTAAACAAGTGATAATGTTAAATGACTGTATATGTTCTCAAAGATATATATACATACATCCGTAGTCAAGTGCTAAAAATATCTAATTAAAAGTGACTATTAAGGAAATGACAGTTGTACACAAACGTGAAAGATCTACTGAAGACAGCGAGAAACTTAAAACCATAACAAGTGGACAAAAAACACCAGGAAGGACTATTAGTACCTCACCTAAGTGAAGAAAGCCGATCACAGTCGAGAAGTCAGTAGTCACGAAATGCTAAAAATGCAATAGCAATAAATTTATAAGTATCATTGCGACTGAATAGCTACTTCTACATGGTATGTAGCAAACATTACAATAAGCTTAAGGACGACTAGCATTCAAAACTTTCAACCAATTAAAAATATACATTCCATTTGAAAACAAAATAGATGTATTCGACATTTCAGCGAAGAAAAACTTCTCAAAGATTATGTGTACCACCCCTCATGTTCACTGCAACAACAGCCAAATAAATATCAGTAAGTGGAGAGTGTGAATTCCAATACGCCCTTTCATCCAGTTACGATCATAAACAAACACTTATGTAAAATGTTTCCCATGAAATATGTCTATGCATTACTCCCGAATAAAATATATGGATCTGTAAGAGCGAGAACAACTAACTATGACAGAAAAATACTTTAATTCATTACTAAAATTATAAATTAGTGGTTTGTTGCAAATGAATTACTAGGTGGCTTCAAAAGCGTGGTTAAGTTCAACAATCATGCAGCTTGTACTCGGGATTTTATCACATCCAATAATATCTAGATTTTATGCGTAGAATGCAACATAGTGAGTGCAGACTTCTCAGACTGGTTTAGAGTTTCGTAATAGTATTCACAAATTAACCAAGTATAGAGCCCGGCTACCTTAACCAATCTTCGACATGAAAATAAAAAATCAAACGAAAGCACCGAATTTAGAGTAATTACCATAGTATCTGCATCCATGAAAACGGCTTTGGTGTATTGTGTTAGCCTCCAGCAATGCAGTTTTGTGAATGTCACACCTAAGTCTGGTCTTGACAGCAAAGCCAGATTTGTTTCGTCCTTGCTATCAAGAACATCAACTAATTCGACATGGTCGAACACAGATTCAATGAGAGACCTAAAAACGCAAAATAAATTAATCAAGCCAACGTACATCATGTGCTTCGAAACCTGTTTTGTAACCATACACACAAGCTTTTTCGTTGTTTTCACCTCTCTCAAAGAATATGCCCATACAAGTGCACCACAAGCATATTCATCGTTAGTTGTTAGGGTAACAAAAGCTTCACACACTGTACGAAATAGTCAAAAAAGATTTATGAGAAATTTACTTGTAATATGTTCTTATTTCTGTAAAAGCCAGTCAATCAGAAAAAATACGGCTGTTTCAACTGAAACATATAAAAGTACTCGAAATCTGCTATATCTTTTAAAGTAGAAATGACTTGATCAAACAAAAATGGCTGTTCAATGGGGAGTAACTTTACATTAAGTTTTGATGGTTTATTGTTAAAATTTTTAATCTGTAGGCAAACAGCACTCATTTTATTGAAATTGTATTGCTTCATTAGCATAGAGGATTGAAGAATGGAGATGACTACAAGGATGATACACTACAAGTTGAAAGTTGTTGTATAGGATCCAGCTGTATTAATATGCATTGATATACATTCCCGTCTTTGGCCCACCCAATGATGCATCTCGATAAGTTAGTTAGATCAGTGTAAAGCTAAAATAATTTTATGTATTCAACAGAATTAGGCCGTTTTCACATGCGTGCGTTATCAGTAGTCGCTAGTTATTATGATGTCGGAACGAACACAGGTCTAAATAATCGAAATATTTTTGAGTGCAGATAACTAGATAAGTGTTCGGTAGCATCGTCGGTTGGTAGAATAAGTAACAAGATAACCGGTTATACCACAATTCTAGCTACAGGATATCTGTTGCTCGAAAATTTCACTAGGTGATTTCAAAAGTTTGCGCTATTTTAAGGTGAAAACATGAAAACATTGCCGCTTAAGTCTAGCAGTTTCACATATACAGGAGAGAATGACACTACAATGAATTTGGCAGCTGAATAGGACCAGCTTTGAATTGCTTAACAGATTTCTGATATCTTCCAGACGTTCAAACAATCGACTAGGCATCTGCAAAATGTGATTCTAATGATTCCAAAGTCCTGTTAATGTAACACGAATGTAGCAGATAACTTCTCTCGTTCAGCATCACCAAGGAGGGCTGTACGTTTTAGAGGTGTAAAGAAGAAAAAACTGCAGGAAGGCACAAGTGGCTCGTTTGGATTCATAATATCATTTCATAGATCTCTTTTACTTATTTTAACCAAAATTTCATTTTTCCGCGATAACGAAACGCTAAAATGTATAACAGAGCAATGACAAGTAGTTATTAACGATTATAAGTCTACAACAATATCATTCTATGCTGGATGGTAAAATTCTCTTTCCAGGTAGGCGTGTTAAGCTAAACGTACGTGTTCAGTCATCGACGCTGTTAAGCACACCATCCTGTTGAGTTCGATAGTTTATTCGCAAATCCCAGCTAGTTGGCTAAATTTGGCCCATGGTCTTGTGACAGGAATCCAGCCTCACTTCCCGAGGTGTATATGAAGTCGAAATGTAACACGGAGAATTTCAATGGCCCCAGCGATTTAGAAAGTTTACATCCATTTTGAGAAAGGACAAAGATCGTGTTGCTTCAGCAATATCAATACTACCAAAGAGTCGCATAATGTATGCAGGGTATTTTTAAGTTTTTTCACTGTTAGAGTCCAACAGCCAAGATTGTGTGTTGATGCGTATGCACTGCTGGATAATGAATCTCATGTTAGGCTGATTGATGCTCAGTCAGAAAACCATTTAGGTATTGAAGCATCTAGGACCTCTAGCGCTGAACACTGTTGACTCCTCTGATGTCATGTCCTGTGAGCGAGTGTCACTCTGCTGGGAATACCTGATAACTGCGGCGAGTAAACAGATAGGAAGTGCATACACTACCTCCCATATTAGGTTTGATGAAGTCCTGATACCTGGATGTGAGAGGGTCGTCAAAAAAAAACTGATTAATATACCGTTGCCTATAATTCACGATCATAAAGCGAGATTACTTGTTGGTTGCAATGTACCGGAAGCGGACAGGGTTGTAGAAGAGGCATGTGGAGGTAAAGAAGACCTTTGTGCAGTTGACCAAAAGCCCACATATCTTCGATAATGGGCACTTTACCATAAGTCTGCCGTAGGAACATAAGGATAACCGACTTGTTTGTAACCGCGATTTGCTTTTAGCAACTTACAAGTCTAAGAAGTAAGTTCGTCCTAGAATCAAACATATGGATTAAGTGCAAGAATGTCATCCATAAACATATAAATAATGTTTAGGTAGAGAAGGTGATTAATTGAGGTGAACCACGAGGGTGGTATTTACCTCATTATCTAAACTTTGACCCGAAATGGCCTGTGAACGGGGCGTTGATAAAGCATATCCCCTGTTTGAAGTGGCGCCTTTGGCTTAACCTTGACGGCATTTGCGCGGTTTCGTTGATTCGAGTTGTGGCTAGTCGTCCAGCAAACGTAGTAGACGCTATTTCGCTGCTTATTTTGCTCTTGTTGGATGAATTTATATGAAAATTATTGTTCGATATTGTTCTTGAGCATTTGCTGATTGCTTGTGTGACAGGACGCTTAAATACATGGTTCATGCAGTGATTTTTGGCATACCGAGTAAGCTTCGCGTACATTTCAACGACTGTCATTCGATAAATTTCTTTGCAGATTGGCGGAAACTTGTACTCGATCTCAAATTTCCCTATCAGCTATTGTGCAGTACCTATTACTGCTGCAGGAACCAAAGAATATGGTTGATATCGAATTCCTGCATCCTCCCGCACTTCTGTGTGTTGTTTTGATAGAGGAAAGTCAATAGAATGCATAGATACAAGCGAAAATTAGTGTTCACAAATGGGCAGAAATTGCAATATGTTTTACGATCACTTATAACATTCACTGTTTTCTGCCGAAGTTTTTAAGTGAGTTAAATGCACACTGCAACATTTTAGTAATTTGGTGGATTTCAATACCATCCTCGTGATCAGGTACGTAAAGACATCTGACGTGTGCGTCACTTTTTCCTACTAGTGAGTTTGGTTTCATAAACTTCCGATTTTTGTCATTGTCCTGACGCCACATTCGCGCTTGTTCGAAGTTAATTCACCAAATTATTTTAAAACCACGTAGAAGTAGTGTCCGACATCTCTTAAAGCTATGGACGTAAGGTTTAGAAGTGGTTGCTATATCCATTTAGGGAAGGCTCATCGATTTTTGCAAGTAAGGGCTACGCATCATATTCCTAAATGCCTCCAGAAGCAACAGAATCTTCAGAAGTTATTAATGGGGTCCCAGCTCCTCTATTTCGAAACATATTATAGGGACAGGTCATAAAACTGGCGTTTGCACATTCTTTAAACCTATCTGTAAAACGTGTTTGGATTGCATTCTAAAGTTTGTGGGAACCGAAGTGTGATTAGGAAGTTTAAACCACTTTTGTGAATTCCAAGACTATTCGTCATCACACGAAACCTTTGTTAAACTTTGTTTTGAAACTAGTCAGGGTAGATGTACTAGTCCCTCAGATATTTGGTTTAGTAATCTTCATTGTTATTTTGACCTTCAATATGTGGTTTTAATTCCACCTAAATTTATTTTCCAAACTTTTAACTGTATTAATTTCATATGTATTCCTATAACAAGTCCATGCGTGACCAGATTGTCTAAAATGTGTTGCACAAATACAACACTACACGACTCGGACAAATTACGTCTTCTCATTACTTCGTCTAAATATCCACTTGTGTCAAAAATAGTGACTGATGTAATCGCACATTGATATAAACTTTCATTAATTTTTACTGTGCTGTCTCGTTAATATTATATTGGTAGTTATATTCATGTATGCACCCTGTGAACCCTTGTTTTCTTTTTTAGATAATCTGTAGTTCCAGTGACCTCGTGGGATTCATTGCTGAAGGAAGTGGTTTCCAGTACCGTTGATTTTGTATTTTGTGTCGAATCACTAATAAATGTATTCTCTATACCTCAAATAGACATTCTACTTGTTAATAGTCACTACTAACTTCATAGAATGTTGTGAGCTACAGAGTTATGGGGTTAGGGTCATGTGTTGTATTGAGTAGCGCGTTTAGAAAATACGTCCGCCCCTGAGGAATATTGTCGTCAATATGGAGTACATTCTCGTGATAAATCTGTTAGCAGTAATTATTATCAGTACCTATATTTCGTATGGATGGTACATAATGAAACGTACTAATTCAGTAGTCAAAGGTTAGAACTATCCGTTAAAATTGAAACAGGTGCTCATGTAAGGGAAAACTGATTAATCGGAATTTGAAACATCACGTAAGTGATAAAGTTTATAGCATCGTTTACATGCGAATAGTTAAGGTTATTTTTTTAGAAATGATGTTTACTCGTTGATGGTTTAAGGGATGTTGTGTTTGATAGGAAATAGATGGGACATTGTAACTGAAAAACAGTGTAACTGGATAAGCAACATCAGCTGGCCAGTATACACTTATTTTGAAGTAAAACACGATCGGGTAAAGTATTTCAAAGACAGGAGTAGAGCAGTCTTCTGAAACTATTAATTTATTGGGCAATTAAATTTGTCTTTGAATTAAGACTGAAAGTAAGCGGCATATTGGTAGGCTAAACGATAATCATTATTCGATTTCGTTAGAATAAGTATCCGAGTACTGTTTCACTCATCATTCTGTCTTTTGAATAACTTAGTAACATGGCGTTTACTTTCGGATCCAAATTACTAAGTAAAGGTTAATATCCCTAAGATTAAATTGTCGCCAAAGTAAGTAAATCTGTTCATATCTAGAAAATACTAAGGTTTGGAGTTATTTTTTTGCTACCACAACACCAGGTGACTCACCAATTAGTCACATCGTAAAACTAGATCTGTCAAAGACAGTCTACTTCTGAGTTCTAGTTTTATCATGAAGGATGAACCATACCCATAGGTTAATAGGATCAGACGGATGATGTCAATTCGAAACTAGGTATCTACGTTTCGCAGCTACAGAAAACACCACGTTACAATCTATTCCTTTAATCGTGTCAATCAATGTGACATCAATTGAGACTAGAGAAGGAACACCACTGGTTTTCACAAAATTTATTTGTGTTCGTTAATATAATGTACATTCCGTAATTATAGGCAAACTAGGAAACGCACCAAGTCATCACATATACGAACAATAATTAAGCGCACAGGGTAGAGTAGATTTAAAGGAATGCCT